AAAGCATGCCCCCTTTCTCCAATACCCCCTTTTTATCCACCTTACCATATTCTGCTGACTCACAGGGTGTTCTTGCCTAATTAATCCCTGGTGAAGATCATTAGCTTCAGTCATCTATCCCAACCCAGGGAATGTGAACACTCCTGTCCTTGAGGATAACAAGCCCTTCCTCCTCACCTCTCAAGCTCACCCATCCCTCCCAAGGCCTTGGATGCCAGAATTCCTTGCAGCTGCACCTGGCCCTGGTCCCCGTTTCTCTGAAGACTGTTAACTCTTTCCTCTCTGTCTGGGTATTGTCCAGTTCATGCTACAGTGGTGGTGGCAGTGGTGATGCAAAAGAACAAGAATATAGCCACCCCTTAGGCCAAATGGAACCCTTTGAGAAACACACAGTCTCTTGCTCCCTTTCATAGAGGTACTCCCTTCCACTTGTTTGAATATCCCACACTATACACTCAAAAACCACAAAGATAATAATACAAGATAGAGCACTTTCAGAGCAGTAAAGCAAGCTTTGGAACACATAGGCAAACCCCAAGCCACACTGTATCGGATTCTACCACACAAATCCCAGACCCCCTTCCCACCCAAGCACACACACCCATTCAAAACTTAGAAAGCATAACATTAACGGAGCTTCTCCTCTAGCCTCTGCAGGCAGGCCAGCAGTCACTGCCCACACTGTCTTCTGGGCACTTCAGCCTAACCCAGAAAACCCTTTCCCTTGCAGAAGGGAGGAATCAGCCTGAACTAAGCCCATGTTCTGCAGGGTTTCCTTTCTCACGAGGAATGCTAATAGTATCTATCACTGGATGGCAGGCAATCAAGTTCAAGTCCTTCTGCTCCAGAGGAAGGAAGCATCCACATATACATGAAGTTTGCATATGTGCAGGCAGGAATCTGACTCTGCCAGGCCCTCCAGTGCAGCAGCACCAACCAACCAGTGCAGCGAGCCCAGCCCAGCATGGACCACCCACCAAAATTAAAATTAAAATGTACAGCAGGTAGAGGAAGGGAAGAGCAGTGGAGAAAGGCAGTAGCTAGAGTGCCCTGATTAGAACCACCCCAATTAAGGAGTATTTTATATGTTGTATACACAAGGCATATATATTGTTAGCTTATTTGCCCTGCACATCAGATGATGTAACTGGCAGCTGATTTACACAGACTACACCCTAACACAAGTGTTATTATACTCTAATACATAAATGCACATTTTTATGCGTGCATATTACACCTGAATACTGCAGCCCTATACACATAAGTCCCACTGAACTCAGTTGGGCTTTCCTCTGAGCAGACATTGAGGATTACACTAAATAACCAGGGAGTAAGGAAGCCAAAGCATCTGAGTACATTAATGTAGCATATTTACCATCATTCATTAAAAGAATCAAACAGGAAATCAAGGACTGGTCCAAGTGATCATTTTATTAGGTTAAACTGCAGTGAAAAAGTGGTACTGTTGCCAACATAAAACGTTTTCTTTCAAGTGCTTCAGATTCTACTGCCTTCAAAAAACTGTGCTGCTTAAACGTCAGTGAACTCTTGGCATTTGTGATTGGTCTTGCAGTTTACAGCACATTCTGGAACCTGGAAAAAGGAAGCCTACAGAACTACAAAGCATGGTTTAAACTATTCCACATAGCTAATTGCTTTGGATACAAAGGTTCAACTTTTTACCAAGCCAAAAAGTAACTTTTTAAAAAAGGCTTTATAAATGGAAATAGCACATTCTCACTCTGACTAACAGACTTCCACCAGCTGGTAGCACAGCATAAATCTTTATTACCTGATCACGTTAAGTACATTCAATTTATGGTGCACATTTATGAATCGTGAGAATGTTAAGAGTAGGTCACCTTGGCCAATGGAAGCAATCAGCTTTGCAGAAGGTTTTCATCTCGTTACAAGTACCCAGCAGGCATATGCTCCTTGTGCACATGATTCAGGCTCTCAATGAGGCACATTTCACCCCCAGTGTGTTACACAGCAAGATGCAGCCGTTCATTCATTCAGGTCAATCATCAGAACAAATCTGCCCTTAATACAGATTTCTTTTTAAAATCAAGACTGTCTTTCATCATCACTTACATCAGGGATAACATGAGGGCCAAGACATCTAGAGTCCCATCAATCCTAATCATAGCTAATGGTGACACTAGAAGTTGTAAACCAGAAGACACGGAGGTCCACAAGTTGCCCGTCCTGCCTATACCTTTAAACCTTGCTGTGGGAGACCATGTTGAGATGTTCCCAGCCCCTTAACAGCCCCTCTTCATAACTACTGCAGGCCAGAGATAAACCTAATGTGGGTAGAGAGCATGGACTCCCACACTTGCTCACCCTAGTCCCCACAACAGTCTCAAGTGTTCTCCTGTTTTAAGGCATTCTTATCCCATTCCTTAAAAGGCCTCCTGAAGCTGCTTACAGAAATAGAAGACAAACATGGCTTGCAAATTTAGACTTACCATCTAAAGATAGCATACATGGAAAAAAAATGGAATTCTTCCAGTAGGAATGATGAAATGGCCCCACTTCATCACCTTTACAGTCAGCTGGAATGGTTGCTGCCACCGCCACTTTGGGTGGATAGGATGCTTCATGAGCTGCTGTTCTGGGATATATTCTCTTTTCCTGTTAGCGCTATTCATGAGGCCTGGGTCAAGGGTGCTAACATGCATTCAGCTGGAATAGGCATCAACCCTGAGTAGGGCCTTTTGTACTTGTTCTGCTCCACGATACTTCCTTTATGGGCCTCAAAGGGGCTCAGCCGGAATACTCCCATTCTGTTATGGTGAGGCTGCTCTGAATGAAACTGCCAGACCAGGGAACTGTGCAATTCAACACTGCCCCAGGAAACAGCAGCTGCCTCAATCAGCCTAATTAAAGTGATCTTCATATCACAGCCCTTCAGTGTGCATCAAGCTCTCCCCAAGGACAGCCACATGATGGCACCTGGAGCCATCCAGCAAACTGTCAAGGCAGACTACAACTTGCTGTAAGATGTAAAGGCTGATTCCATTTACTGTTAGTGACAAGTCCTGGTTCAGATTTGTGCGGGGGGGGTGGGGAATGGGACAAGTCAGGCTGTAGGAAAATGACAAATAAAACTATTTTCCTACAGCCTTGGACATGTTCTCTTATCCATTGGGTTATTTTGGACATCCTCCAGTTTTGTCTAATCCTTGCCCAAAGACATTCCCTCTTCATTCCAGATACACATTGAAAAAGCTGAATGAGTCCAAAGTAACCATAAGCTCACTAAGTGACTTTGTGCTGATCACCAACTCTCACCCTAACTCACAAGATTGTTATGAAAAAACATTGGAGAGGTGGCACAGGTTATTTAATCATTTTTGGTTCCTTGCAGGAAAAAGCACGATATTTAAAAAAAAATCACACCTTTGCCATCTCCTTAAACCACCTTTCAAAGGAAATCTCTCATCTCAGTTCTGCAAAGCTTCAGCTTCCTATGTTGTTCCTCAGCCAGGCCCTTGCTCCATCTAACTTAGTACTACTAACACTGACAGCCGCTCTCCAGGTTTTCAGGCAGGAGTTTTATTAGCCCTACCTAGAGATGGCCAGGATCAAAGCTAGGGCCTTCTACATAAGTAGATGCTGGGGCTACACCCCAGAGAGGTGAAGCAGCAAACAGTCTCCACCTCAGGGATAAGAAATCTGAATTACCACCAACTCTGCTTGGGAGAGTTGTCCTGAACAGACAATTTACGGGGGGGGGGGGACCTGTTAAATTCTATGATAGCACCTCCTTGAAGAGAAACAGTCAATGCTTAAGATATTTTGTAGAGGCAAAAGCTTCCCCCTTCCCCATTCTTAAGTAGCACAAGGAAAACAGAAAAAAGCAGCAAAGTAATCATCCTCTAGAGCACAAGCATGAAATGCTTAATCCAGCACGTGTTACTAGGGGGAAAGCCCCACCGATGCCAGCAGGGGGTCACTTTCAGATGTGCTTAGAACTACAGCCTGGCTTGAAAACATTATCAATGTTTTTAAAAGGCACCCAAGTAACTTGAGTACTTTCTCCAAAGCCATCCTTGAGTTAATTGGCAAAAAGTCTCCAACTAATTCTTTAAAAGATTTACAAATCTCTTGCAGAATTTCAGAAAGAAATACTTCATCTGTCCTATCCTTGAACCACTATCTCCATCTCTTAAGAAAAGGGACAGGCATTATATCTATACCTGAGAATAGGGTAGTTCCATTTCCTAACAGACACCTGCTACATAACCCTACCCAGTAGGAAGTTTGACATCATAAAAATTCTAGATTAAGACTTCAAGCTTAGCCAAAAGGGGGGATTCTGAGATGCAAATGATCTGGCAAGACCACAGAGAACATTAAATGTTCCCAAAAGCACAGCCAGCATTTCAGCATAAGCACAGATCCAAATGCTTTCAGTGTCCCAGAGTAAAAGCCATGCAATGTAATTAGTCAAAATGGCAAGCTCACTCTCATTGGCAACATATTCTCAGCCTGGGCATCCCTTTGCAGAACTTCCATTCTTAAGTTGTTAACTGTGTTTGAAGTTGAGTTGCACTTTTCTGAGAACCTGGATGCCATAGCCAGGTTCAGGTTTGGGCAGACTTAACAGTTCCTTCCAAATGAGTAAGACTGAAGTATTATTTATATGCTACTTTTTCCTACAAGGAATACAAGACAACCTAATCTTCCCTCCTTTCCATCTTATCCTCATAAGAGCCGTGTGAAACAGGTTAGGCTCAAACTCAGTAATTGGCCCAAAGTCACCCAAGTGACCTTCATGGCATAACGGGGACTAAAACCTGCATCTCCACAAGTCTCAGGCATGTAGAGTAATGGTTGGACTAAGTAGGCTAAGTAAGAAAGTATGCTTAGGAGCCCCTCCAGTTCCACATCTGGACGTTTCCCTTGTTGAGAGGTCAGAATTCCTGACTTCATGAATCACCATTGAAAAACTATTCCCGAAGTTCTAGTTCACAAGTCAGTACAAATTGGACTAGAGTGACATTCTTTATTACAAAATGATACAAGTTGTTTAGAGTTCAGTTTAAAAAGATAACCTGTTCACATATTACAAAGGAGGGGGAAGATCAATTATTATTTCATCTAAGGTAGCCAGAAAGTCTTTCCTTGATTGCAAAGTATCTGGAAGAGTAAGCAAGAAGAAATCAGTTCATCAAGTCAGTTACAGCCTTACTGCTTGAACCCCTGTATCAGTTCTCTTTCAGTGTCCAGCATATTTGTTGCCCTTGGAACCCAAGCTCCACCTGCTCTCACTAAGGAACCACCAAATGTGGGTGTTCTTACAGTGCAGTTAGTCCCTGGGTTACAAATAAGTTCTACCCTGAGAAAACGGAAGCCTATCTTTAAGTTGAAATTGTATATAAGTCAGATCATCTATGGTCAGCCCCCCACATTTGTGGGGGTTAGAGGCACCAGACCTGTGAAAGTGGAAAAATTGAATCTTTAGCCCTCTGCACCCACCAGCTCACAAATGCCTCTTTGCAGCAAGGAAATGCCAGATTTCCTTCTCCAGATAGATGGGGCAGGAAAGCATGCTTCAGAGGCCTCCCTCTCTTCTTCCACTTCCCCTCACTCTGTGGTGGTGCTTTGGAGGCCCTTCCTTTCTCCTTTCACTTTTCTGCAGTGATGATTTCCCACAGTAACTTTTTAAAATTACTAGGTATTGTGGCAGTTCATAAGTACAAATTGTTGATAACTCATGGACTGCCTGTACTTGTTTCATTTGACTTCAACTCTAGCCTTTATCAGGGAAAAGTTTGCACTACCCACTTTGCTGAATTTAGACCAAAACTTTACTTACCATAATCCCATGAAAGGGAAGGTGGTTTTATAGGTACAAGGACTGGACTTGTGAAAATGTCAGGCACATTTCCAAATGTCATAAGAGGAACACCAGTCAGTGACAAATGGCTTAGCCTGTGCTCCTCAGGAATCTCAAAATTCTCGAATTCTGTTCAGAGAAAGTCTGAGTCATTGAGTGTACTTTCTAAAAATACTATTTCAAATGTGTCTGAGGCTGGGGTAGCTTAACCCAGCAGCAGTGCTTAAACCCAGTCCACAGGGATCCCTTCAGTTTACCTGATACCTTTATCAATGTTGATAGCATACAATACAGTTCTCTGCTACATCTAAATGCTTCCTGTGCACAAGTATCAATAATGCATCTAGCAGTCACCCTTAGTTTACTAACAACTGAAAATCATTCTTATGTATTACCCAGAGGATTATAGGAAATCAGATTCTCCTTTTCTGGCCAGTCTTCAGTAACCATGCTGCAGCTTTCAAGTCTGGATGTATTCTCAGAAGCCTTAAGTAAAAATAACCAGAAAAACATTATTGAACCAAGTCTGGGATTGTTCTAGCTTTGTCTGCTATTCCCTCCTGTTCACATTACAAAGTCACCCTGATGACTAGGTCAATGTTACCAGGTGATAAGCTTCATTAGGCCTTTCCTTGAACTATTCTAAGATCAAAAGAGAAAGTGCCCTGCAGCCATTCCAGCCTCCTTGCTTTCTACTTTGAACTGGTCCAGCTAGATGGATGCAAAAGCCTGCCTCACAAAAATGCCGAGCAGGAGGACAAGGAGCTGGCTTCCTCCTCTACATTGAATGCCCATATACCCAAGACTGCAGGCTCATAGGCACGTTGGCAAGACTGTGCCCTTAAGGGACCCCTAATCATCTTTTGTTTCTGACTAGAACAAGGCAAATGGTTCCTCCTAGTGCTATCTTTCCATTCATGGAACTGCTTTTATCAGCAGAACTGGAATGGGGCGATTCCTTTTCCTTCCATGAACCCCATGGAAGATCCACTGCAGATAGCTGGGAAATATTGCAGAGCATTTCCAGGCCATAAGGGAAAGAGGGAGAAATGCCCTTTAACGTGTGTTTTAGCCGAGTTAAGCAGCTTAACGCAGTTACCAGGACTTCTGCTATTTTCCTAAAATAAAGTCCGCTCAGGCCACCTTTTTTTAATCTGCCTCCATTCTCTGCTCTAGGTTTAGCATCAGCAGCCCTTGTGCTCTGTCTGTGTGACCATCTGATATCTTACGGAATATTTTTTCTACTAACCCTTTTTGTAGACATGGACTTTTCTCCTTTAGGGAATTCACCCTTGCCAGTTGCCTGTGGCTTGTTCAAGTTTTGCAGGGCTTTCCTGACTCCTTTAGATGCTGCTGCATTTACATTAGCTGTCCGTCCAACAAGTGGAGTCTTAGAGTGAGACCGTTCAGCAAATGTCTTTGCTGTGGAAAGAAACAGGCACCCAGCATGCTTGAGACTAGTGTCCTAAAACATCTTCATTGTTTAGTATAGTTATCCACAAGCCAAGGTTAGCATATCAACGAAGACTGGAGACTTATTATAACCTCTAGGTTGTCTAAGCTTGCAACCATTTCAGGCAGTATGGCAACTGCTACAAGCCAAGTCACAGTGAAGCTACCCTAGTCTGGCTGTATAGAAATTAGCACAAACACAGTAGCCTTAATAACATAGCCAGGAAGCTTAGCTGTGAAGAAACATATACAAAGAACAATATCCTCCAGCTCAACACAGCCTCCCATGAGGAAGAGCAGAAATATAGTCAAGTTCTAGTTGTCCATGGGTCCCTTCCACCCACCCAGCTCAGTTCCTTGTATATTTCCTGTCATACCTAGACATCTTAGACTGGCCTCTGGTCTTAATACTGCTATTTACAACAGTTTTGCTCTTTATTTTCTGCCCTTTCATGCTGTTTGTACCACTCTGTTACATGCGCATATATATATATATATATATATATATATTATCCCTTCCCATCATAGAACTAAAGGTGGTATTGCCAAAATTTTCACAGTCCCCCATCCAAACAATGGGCAAACTAAGACCCACTCCAACTCAATAAAGCAGTTGCCTGCAAGTCATACCTCAAGATGCTTTTACTAACTCAAGGTGGGAGGGAAACTACAGTGTAGGACATGGATCCTCAAACTATGGCCCGTGGGCTGGATCTGGCCCACCTCAGAGCTTTTGGATGTGTTTGGAGAAAACGATCTCCAAGCAAGCCCAAAAGCTCTTAGACAGCACAGGCATATTCAGTGGGGAGATGGCCACAATCACACCCACCTTCCCTGCACAAGCATGCCCACCACCACCACCACCACCACCACCACCACCTTGCCACCCACCCCCCTTTCAACTGGCCCCCCGTTGAACAAGTTTGAGGACCCCTGCTATAGGAGATGGATCATAGGGCTATGAAGCATCCAGAATACCCAGAATTTCAAGTTGTCTATTTAAAACAAGGCTTGCTTAAAGGTACATGTAAATAAAAGCTCATTTATAGCAGTTTAAGTTTGTATTAACATGAACTCACAAGGTGCTGATAGCACTCTCAGCTGATCCTTAGTAGTAGTGGTAGTACCCAGTTCACCATTCTCTTTGTCTAAGAAGATATGCATAGCCATTTCTTTGGCAACAAGACAGCCACTGAAATAGAGAACTGCAGCATTATTCCTCCATTCCTGGCTTGTCTGCAAGTACTATTTCTCTATAATTTCTCACTAGAAATGTAGCAGCTGTATCTCTATATAGAAGTTTCTGCAGCAGAAGCACGACAGCTGCAGCTTTCAGACATTGTTCCTTGTGGAAGACCCATGCCACTTCCCTCGAGTGCAAAAGCTAGGCTGGATAATGTATTGGTGCATGTAAAGAATTAAATACTAGGTAGAATTCAGCTACTGCTTTCATGTCAAGTCCTCACCAAAAGTTTTTAAAAACAAACAGGCAAGGAAAGAGCAACCTTATTTTTAAACACTGTTTACTGAAAACATCTGTTTTGGAATTCCCAGACCACAAGTTGTCTTTGTACCAGCCTCTTGGAAGTGGGCTGGCCCTTTGTTTGGTTCATTTGCTTTTTTGTAAACTGCACCAGTATTAGTTTCAAATGAGAAAAAAATATAAATAGCATTGAGAAATAAATGAACCACTACCAATATTGCCATCACAATAAATTAAAGGTTTATTTTTTAAAGGTTTAATTTATTGCTATTATTCAATTAGTCATTTAATTAAGATTTAATTTATTGCCATCAGTTTACAAGTCTATACAGTATTCTGAAATACATCAAACCAAGTTGGTAGTTTCAAAATGCACATCCTTAACATTCAGAATCCATTGGTTCACATATCATAAGCAGGCCCTTAAGTAGTAGTTAACATCCTTCCCTAGGGAGCAATCATACAATGAACTGACCAAGCAGCAGCTCATTCAGTGATGGCCTTTCACATACATGGTTCTTAATTCAGTACAGGGTGACCAGCTGTAGGAACCTTGTCTGCTCTTGTATCATTCATAAAGGTTACACCTGCTGAAATTCCCTCTTCTGCACAAACTATTAAAGGTTCAGGATCTCTGCCTCTTACAAATAGCCACACTATTTCAATACAATTTCACTGATACGTTCCATACACACACACTTACCCTGTATGTATTTACGCTGAAGTGAGTTGTGTAGAACTCAATCTTGCACATAAGTGCATCCCAGGGCTTAAAGTTACCTCAGTTTTTTAACCCATCAATTTAGAGGTTTTTAACAGTAGTCTATCTAGCTTGCTTTATACAGGTTTTTTCTTATATTGTCACTTACCTAGGCTATAGACTTCAGCAGTGTACCAAGTGAAGCAAATCCACTAAGAAGATCTAGTTTAAGTACACAGCAAGAATAATTAGCCCAATATAGGACAAAAGCTACCGAACTAGAACAGCTTCTTTGAACAACCAAGAAGCGTCTTTTCCTAGGACAGAAAGAGAAGAAAAGAAACATAAAAAATAAATATTTTGCAGTAACTTACACTGATCCTTCTATTATAACTTTTAAAAATCTTGAATACAATTTAATTCTAAAATAGTAGACAGTAATAAGAAACAGAAATATTAAACCAGAAACTAGCAATAAATAATTAAAAGCACACCGCCTAAAGAATTGATAGCATACTCAGCGCATTTCAAAAAATACGGAATCACGCACAGCTTGCGCCGCGGGGCTACTTTTAAACCAGTAGCCTCGTCATTCATTGGCTGTTGTGCCCCGCGTGCGATGCTAGTGCTACTGATTGGCTGCTTCGCTAAACCAATGGCGGACTTGGAGAAGAACGATAGGCTCGACGCTTCTTTGCTCCATAAAAAATCCTTAACAGGGGGGAACTGAAAAGTATAATCCAAGTATAAACTTGGCCTCAGAGCAGAAGTGGAGCTGATGGTTTTGGACTTCAGCTCCCAGAAGTCCCTACCAGCCTGTCCAATTGCGAGAAATGCTGGGAGCTAAAGTCCAAAAGTCTGGACAAATACTCTCTACCGACCTTGCCTTAGATACACCACATCGTTCCCCTCAAGAGCACGCGTAGGGCCGGATAACCAAACGCTCAAAAGACGCATCCTAAGAGGATGTGAAGCAGTAATAGCACTGCTTTGATGAGTGGCTGCGGATTGGGCTCCGCAAGTTTTCAGAGTGTTGTCTTTTATGTGCATTATAGTAAAAGCAAGTAAATCTCTTGAAGCACCTTAAAAACAAACACTGCAGTCCTATGCATGCGCATTCAGAAAAAAGGTCCATTGAGTTCACTAGGACTTACTCCCAGGTAATTGTCTAGAATTGCAGGTTATTAAGACATAAGCTTTCGTAGATTCGAATTCATTTCGTCAGATGCGTGAAAGGGAATTTAGTCTACGAAAGCTTCTGCCTAATAAGCACCCAGCTGTAATTCTATACCTAAGTGCCAGGAACTAATCTCCGCCGAAAGCAGTGAGCGTTCTGCGTAGTTATGCATAAAATTGCAACGTGGGTCTTTCAGGTGCTATAGGACTCTCGGTTGCTTTGTTTTCCTGTCTACATTACAGTGCAGTCCTACAATACCTATTCAGAAGTCAGTGGAACTCGCTGCAAATCCCATTGGTTTGCAGCCTTAGATGCGTGTTTAGCATTGCAGTCAGGTGAGGGTGCATAGAGTTATAGCTTAAAGCCGAAACACGAAAGCGCATTTATTCCCTCTATGATTGCGATTCTTGTTGTTCTGAATACGGCGTGGAATTATTTAGGAATAAAAAAGTCAATGCGGTGGAGCTTCATTCTGAGTACTGCGAAAGCAGGCTGCCTGAGAAGTGAGTACCGAGCATGACAACAGCAGATTGAACTCTGCGCGGTCAAGATGCGGAGCGCTGGCCCTTTAAGAAGAAATGGCGACTATGGCCGCGCGGTGCATTCTGGGAAGCGGAAGGGAGGCCTCAACCCGCCGAGGAGTCGAAGCCGCGCAGTAGGCTGCCTTCTCGGTGAGTACGGGCCGGGAGTTCTCCCTTTCGGCTGGGTCATCTAGTCGGTCGCCCGGAGTAGCAAAAGCGTCCTTTGGTGGCTTGCAGGTTCTGTGCGTTCACACTGTGTGGTCTCAATCTGGGTTCTGGCTCAGTACGCACTTCTGAAGTGTGCCCAGCAAACACACACGCGTGTGGGTTTTCCCACGAAGGTGGTAAACCCGGACAGGTTTGTCATCGTCATTTTCTTTCGAGTTCTAAAAATTTGTCCGAGCTGATAGCCCCAGAGAAAGCAGTTTACAAGTTGTTATCGTCTCTCGCAAGTGTCGCCCCCGCTGCCTAGTATAGTGTCACGGAAGGTGGGCTGCTCCCCGGGGCGTCAAAGCGTACAGTGGCTTACACTTCCCATCATCCCTTCTTGTTTACTGTGCTCGATGGGGCTAATGGGAGTTACCTGGAGAGCTGCAGGATATTCCTCCACTGGGTAGGAAGGAAGAGGAAGTGTCGCTGTGGACACTTCATTGGTGTGTTACTTTAGAGCCTTTTGTGACGTGTGACTCCAATGTTGTTTTTGTTCAGGAGGTGGTATCCTGGTAAGCAAATGCTAATCGCTTGTCAGTGTTCGTTCTGGCCTATTTTAGCTATCTGAGCAAGTTTTGAAAATGTCATTTGTTTTAAGTTGTGTAGACTTTGGGCATTTCTATCCAGCCTTTTGGCTACAGGAGTTTCCAAGCTGGCTTGCAAAAGAGATGTATGCAGATGTATACAGTAAAACCAGCTGTACAGATATAGAAGAAAGTAATAAAACATAAAACAAGGTTTAAGTATTCTATTGGAAGGAGAAAGCATTTTTAAACAAAAGTTACTGTTGGTGATATTCTATAGCTGCAGAAAGTAACAGCCATAAGCAAAATCTCTAACTCCATATCTGTGTAATATCTTCATTCAGCCAGCCAAGTGATAACAAGATACATAGAGACCCAGTCTCTAGAGTTTTATAACAAATTGCCTGAACAGAATCAGGGATCTCAAAAGGTTGCACATTAGAGAGTTGGTCTAATAAAGGTTTTACTTTAATGTGGATTTTGTAATTGCAGAGTTGCTGTTGTCATATGTCCAAACAAAAATATTGCAAGTGGCCATGTAACATTCAAGAAGAAGCTGTGATTGGTGGTGGTGTGTCATTAGTACTAGAAGCATTGGTTGTATACATGTCTGAAAAAGGTCCAATTCGCACAACATTTGGTACAGATTTTTTAATACTTTCATTTGTGTCTTTCCCCTTCCCCTGCCACTTCCTCAGCATAGAAATTCAAGGCTATTACTATCCCCACTGTTCATAAAGCTATTTAGGGCACAATCCTGTGGCAGCAAGATGCTGCCTAGAGGGCCCTATTTTGACTCAGTCTCATCTATGACTAGAAATGCATTATGAGGTTAGAGTTGGGACTCCAGGCCCAAGCAGCCCTCCCTTACAACACAGTGCTGCTCTGCTACAGTTCTGAAGTTGCAAGTATGACTTTGGAGCTGGTGCATTGTGGGGAGGGGAAGGGAGAGAAGAGTGAGTTTTTGCCAGAATACAAGAAATCCTAGTTATGCCATAGTTGCACAAGCAGGACCAGAAGACTTCGAAGGCCAAAACTGGCCATCTGTGTCTTTTGCACGGTGCAGGAAGTATGCAGGGCCCTTCCAATCCTGTATTAGATACACATACATAATCTTCTGAGTTCAGAGGGTACAGGCAGCCATTCTGGATGTTGTCCTTATTTAACAGTTTAGCCTGTGCCCATGGTTGATTTATCTGTTTGTACTAATAGAAAAAAGAAGATGGAATCTGGGAGCATGGAAACAATAGCTACTAATAACCCTCCTGGAGGATCAAATGGCTTAGAAGAGCCAAAGAAGATGACAAGAGAAGACTGGAGGAAGAAGAAAGAATTGGAAGAACAGAGAAAACTGGGCAATGCGCCAGCTGAAGTGGATGAAGAGGGAAAGTGAGTTTCTATAACTCCAAATAAAATATTTCCTTCATCTCTGCTTGCAGCTCCCTGTTAGTTTTGGTCTACCTTGGCCATTATAGTCAGAACGGGCAACAGTTCTGCAGGGGTTCAGGCAAGAGTTTCCCCAGTCCTATGTGGAGATTGTACCTGAACCTTCTGCATACAAAGCAAGGGCTCTACCACTGACATCCAGCCCCTGAGCCACCTGGAAGGGATGCTAGTTCTTTCTAAAACTCATGCACAACCTTTTAAAGCTGAGTGCAGTTTAATTTCTTGAAGCATGAGCATTTTAATCTGAAGTAACTTGTTTGCATCTGTTTATAACATTTGGTGTTCCTATAGCCAAAGGCTACAAAACTGTAGAAGTGTGTCCCTATTAAGTATCTGAAGCTAAGGACTCAGCTTCGTACAACTGGGTGTACTGGCTGTTCCTGTTGGAGTTTGTCAAGTCCCTTCTTTCATGATGCAAGTGCCCTTGTCAGCATGAAGAAAGGCAAAATGAGTAAGGTAATGCCCCATGATGGTATCTGCCGTGCACAGAATACAGTGAGGAACAGTTAATCCTCATTTACAATATGTTCTTAAGCCTGCTATTGGGGCTTCTAAACAGATCAGAATTAATGGAGAAGATAAATTCCCACTTCTGTAATGATAAGGCCTCTCTCTCCAGATTATGAGTGCTCCTGTGCCCCCCCATCCCCCGCATGGCTACTATCCCCAGAAGTTCTCCTAGTGAGCTTTAAGTGTATGTAACATGAAGCCAGAAATAAGAGTTTTACATTGTGCAACCTATGATCTGCCACTGGGGGTCGTATGCTGGTGATGGTGTGCTGTAATTGATTGCTGATTTAGAGAGAGAGGGGTCTTTTCAATGTGGACATGGTACATTCAGGGACAGCTTTTTCAAATTTCATTTTCTCAGTGAGAAGAAAATTCATTATTTCATTCCTTGACCTCATCTGACTTTACCTCTTCAAAGTGAGTGTGTCCTTGGAATGGAACTTGGGCAGAAGTATTCTGTACCTGCACCTCTCCCCTTTTGGCTCCTCTGCTAGCTTTATATGGGCTTGGCAGGTAGAAAGAGTTATTTTGGGTGGCCTGGCATAGTTTGGTATGGAGCACTTTCCACTAGCTTTGGGGTAGCTCTCTACCACATTCAAACTCACTGCAACCAGTGGATCATTCAGTTAGGAAACTACAATAAATTATCATATTGTTAGTTGAAAAACTGGGGGGAAATCCTGCATTATGTTAGTACCATTTTAGCCAAAAATCCAAAGCATGGGAACTTTTAATCATGTCTTATAACCAAATAATTCTCTCATCTGCAGCTGTGTGTTAACAGCACTGCTCCCTTTCCAAGTGTATGCAGAAGTAAGCTCTGCTGTCTTCAATATTAATTAACTTTCTGGTGAGTGTATGTATAGGACTGTAGCATAAGTAACTTTTTTATTACAGAGACATCAACCCTCATATTCCTCAGTACATTTCCTCGGTGCCATGGTATATTGATCCTTCAAAGAGGCCTACACTAAAGCATCAGAGACCTCAGCCAGAGAAGCAACAAGAGTTTGCATTACTAGGGGAATGGTATAAGCGAGGAGTCAAAGAGGTATGTAGCCAAGTGCAGCATGTGAATACTCCCATACTAGAATATGAATAAATCTTACCTACTTTGGTATGTTACTCCCTTGTTTGTATTCAAAAGATTTAAATCAGTGACATTTTGTTGCACTTTCATCAGTACCAAATGTTGTAGAAATGTTAACATCTGATGGCTTGTTGGGGGCTATACCTTAAGCTAACATTCTCCACAATTAGCATTATAGAACAATTTAATTTGTGTAACTGACAGAGTCAAATTGGGGCCACTTTATTCTAGCTGATGGAATGGGGGAAAGAAAGTGTGCTGGTGATAGGAAATATGAATTTGTTTTTCTGTTTAGGATACTATTACAACTAAATATCGCAAAGGCGCCTGTGAGAATTGTGGGGCATTGACACACAAGAAGAAAGATTGTCTGGAGGTAAAAACAAATAATCAAATTGTATTTCATGCAGTTTAGCTATGGGTCCTGGAAACATCATATTGGGAAATGCAACTTAAACTAACAGTTCAGTGAAAGTGACAAGACCTGGTCTACCATGTATAGGCTTTATTTTATCTGAAGTTTATAGAGCACCTCTCCTGATGTGGTATCCTGCAGATTGTGTTGGGCTACAAGTCTCATCATCCTTACCCAGTGTGCTCCTCCCTATATTTGCTGGTGTTGATGGCTGTTGTACTCCAATACATACATACATACATACATACATATATATTATATATGGGGAGCGGGGGCAAATTGGGGAAGGCTACTAAACTGGTAAACTCAGAAAAGACTAAAAGACAAAAACAATTGTAGACTTAGGACACAGGGCAAGCTTTCACATGGGAGGATGAGTGCTGAGTAAGAGGCACTGTGCCAAAGCTCTATTCTTGTTCCAGCAATGAAGCTAACATTCTAAGAACCTGAACCTATATTATATCTTTGCCATAACCTCCTTAATACTGTTATTTGGAGGTCATAGTTCTAGCTCTAGGATAGTTCTAGCTCTATTGCTGTGAAGGTTACAAACCAACTGTTGCACCAAATGTCTGTAGGAGCAACCAAATAAGAGCCTTTTTCCTGCTCCCCTCTACAGCTTGGAGCTGGGGAAGGAAATGGAGAATTGCGCTGGGCTGCATGGTTGCCCAGTTGGCCTCAAAGCCACAAATAGCAACTGTGGGGATTCTTCATGTTCTCCCTCCAGATCCAACATTTGGAAGGAAACCCAGTGCTTGGCTTCCAGGGCCTTTCACATCCCTTCTGAGCACAACACTTTCAGTTTGCAGCCGGAGGCAGGCATGGAATTTGTCCCTCTGGTTTCATTGTGCATCTCACATACAGCACAACTGAAAGTTCATTCCTGCCTCTCTCCCCAGGAAGACGGGGACTAGCCTCAGTCTGCTTGGCACAAGATAATGGAATATCTGCTTTGTATCTTCCACGCGGATACAGATGGTTATAATTAGGGTATCTTCAAAGTATTTGAATGCGCTTCCCAAACTCCTGACAATTTTCCACTGCAGTGTTGATCATGTTACACATTAGTTATGTGACTGCTACAGATTAAGAGTCCTAAGGATTATTGCTTTTCAAGATTATTGCTTGTCTTCAGTAGCTTCAGATTTCCCCTTTTTCAAATTAGTTCCATTAAACATGAAGCCCAAATATGGGCTTGAAGCCCATGTAATGAACACAAATCCTGCATGATAAAATCACATGATGGGAAGGCCAATTAGGATTTCCATGTTCTTACCTGGGGAGATTTCTGTGGAGATAAAGCATAAAAGTGCCTTCAAGGTGCAAGATATTCACAGTGAAAACAAAGGATTTCTATGGCGAAGTCAGTGCTTGAACTAGAATTGGAGCAGTACAAATTCTATAGCTACTCCTTCATGCTAGGGGAAGGTTAGGGAGCAGAGAGCATCTGATTTTCAGGAAGTCACCTGAGCTCAGTAGCTGAGCAGCAAGTAGTTTGTTAAATGATGGTTGGAATGGCCCAACACTGAGTTCCTTGTTCTTTCTAAGGTTCCCTCTGCTCCTGAGATAAACACTGATTTGGAAAAAAGTAGAGTGTGCGTTTCTGCCAGGATGATGCAGAGTGAATCCTAGTCCAGGCATTGCATTATGACTGATGTGTTCAGCTCCACGTAGGATGGGCACATAACATAGTAGCTTACCGTGCCAGAGCATAGTAAAGAAACAGTGTGTTTGCTTTCCAAGTAACTATATTAGTCAACTGTTTCAATGCTTAGCAGTGCAGCATGGGGAACTTATCAGCAACTACATAGCCAATGAAAAATACGACTGGACACAGGTAAAGAAAAATGGACAAGAGGAGCAAAGTCAGAAAAATATTACATACTGTATGAGGATTTGGCTTTGTTTGCTTTCTAAAGTATTCAGAATCATGAACATTAATGTGGTCAGTTCCCTTTCCAAAGGGCAGGGAAAATACTGAACTTGTGTTATATTTTGTCCTTGCAGAGACCTAGAAAAGTTGGAGCAAAGTTCACTGGAACTAACATTGCACCAGATGAACATGTGCAACCTCAACTGATGTTTGACTACGATGGGAAAAGAGATCGTTGGAATGGCTACAATCCAGAAGAACACATGAAGATTGTAGAAGAATATGCCAAGGTTGATCTTGTAAGTAACTTTTCTTTGTTCTTTACAGGTATTTCTAATGGACTCTTTGGGCAATTGTGACAGAAACAAGTGCAAAATTTAGCTTTTTTATCTAGGGTTTAATTAACTCTCATTACCTGAAATAGCTGTCAAAATATAAGTTCAGGAGCATGGAAAGCAGCATCATGCTAAGTTGACCATGGATCCCTCTAGCTTAGTATTGTTGTCACAAGGAGTAAGCAATATTTTTGAATCTGTGGGCTCACTTAGCAATTGGAGAAGCAATCCTAGGTGCCATCACAAAATGGAGGCTATACAAAATCACAAATGACAGATAACCTACCAAAACAATGAGGAAAAGGGAGAAATAGGGACTAAGCCCCAACATACATTCAGCATTTGTAAGCTACCCAGAGAACCTTCAGGTTGTGTGGCCGTCGTCGTTTGTTTTTTGGTGCCAGGCTAAGACCTTTTTATTTAAAACTTATTTTAATTGTTAATTTATTGGTTATTTATAGAATTTTAAATCTTTTAAGCCGAGATGCACTGGGTTTTAATATTTTTATTGTACAATTTGTTATATTTTGTTCTTGTTGTGAGCCGCCCCGAGGCTTTGTTGCGATCAGGGCAGCATAAAAATGTTTTAAATAAATAAATAAACATAGAAGTGTAATGTAATGAAATAAATAATACTACACAATTCCCAAGAACCCAGTTTTCAGTACAAACAAACATGTTTGCAAAGGGCAGGCTCTTCTTCCTTTTCTGCTTTCTCTTGGCCATCCAGCTCATCCCCCCTATTTCTTTTCCTCTGACTCTGGATCAGCACCTATAGTTTGTCATGACTTCTTTCTCACACACGCACATGTGCAAACACTCTCCCTCCCTCCCTGCTATTAGGGAGGTCTAGGTCACCTTGGCTCACACCTAGAAAGTGGGCACCGCATTGCCTACCCCCCAGTCTGTGTAAATTGACAGTAGCTCTCCAGAATTTCAGTCAGGAGATGACAGAGGTCACTTCTGGGAATTTGGTGTGAAAAGCATGTGCTCTGCAATTGAATTAGAGCTTCCCCCAATTTAGTAAAATGCTGATTAATTCAGTGTTTTATCTGTTAGGAAACAATGGATGGCTCAGCTATAATGCAGTTCTTCTTGATGCAAATGTAATGTTTCCCATCCTTTCTTATCATTAACCTTTATCATTAATCATTAAATCATTAGCATTTTGATGTGAGGCAGGGATTTGCATGAGACCTACAGTCACCTGGGATCTCCAGTGGTGCACATTATGAATGGGACTGTTGTGGTGCCTTTTAGTACAAAGTGAATAATATTTCTCCTTTGGCTATATAGGCTAAACGTACATTAAAAGCTCAGAAACTGCAGGAGGAGCTGGCTTCAGGGAAATTGACAGAGCAAGTGGTAAGTGAACCTGGACAAAATGCAGAAAGTGACATGTGCTGAGAAACATTTATTTCTCTCATCATTTTTACATCTACCATGAGATGGTGATGACAGAAATATGTACCGGATAAAGATTAAATTTATTTTAATTTATTTTATGCTAATACCTTGCTGGTAACCAACCAGCAGGAATGAATTTGCCTACCTTCCATTTTGCAGAAGATTCTGAATATCTTCATTAGGTGGCAGTATATACCATGCTTGTAATCCTGAAGCTTGCACTAAATTGAGAAAAGAGAGCCACTTTAGAGCAGGTTGACATTTTCTTTCTTTGGAATTTATTGTCCTGCATCCAGGAACCTCAATGATAAGCTTTAAAAAACTATTTTGAAATTTAAAAAAATAAGAGATTTTACTCCTGCATCCAAATACTTTTTTTTTTAAAAAAAGGAATAAATTGTAAATTTAGCCACTTCATTAAAATTGTACATTGCAATATTTTTAGGAAAATACTTGTATTTTGAAACTTGGTTGTGAAGAGGTTTGACTGGAAGTTAGGTGTCTCCTTTCTTGAAAGTTTCTTTCTAATTTCTGTTTGAGATATTCATCCACTTGAATCCAAGCCTGATTGGAATTGCATAAGTAAAACAACTTGCAGGCTAGTAATCTGCCCTGCTGTAGCTCTCGGGCCTCAGGGGTTTCCTTTTCTTGAACCTGTGCATTTGCTTTTTCTCATACAATCCATTTCTCCTCATTACCCCACCCCAAATGTGCTTTGTAGTTTTCTGTACTGTGCTGATTCTGTTTCTTTTTTGTTTGCACAGAACTCCCCACGACATCGATGGGGAGAGGAAGAACCAAATTCACAAACGGTGAGAAACTTTTCCAAAAATGATCAGCTGATAGAAGCTGCTGAGCCAATGGAACATTTTTGCTAGTGGCAAAGAGTAGGCATTGTTTGCCAGTTCCTCACCTGCCTTTCTGTGTCCCCCCTAAAACCTGCTCTAGAAGGTTGGGGAGCCCTCTGTAACTGCTGGGGCTACAGAGGATGAGGTGAGTTCACAGAACTCACCACCTCCCCTTTCAGAAGCATTCCAAGCCAAACTCTGCTAAAATGAAGCCTCCACCAACCGTATAAAATGCCAGATGCAGCCCAGTGTATATATTGTTTATGAGTAAAGACTTTAGACTCTTAGCCATCTCTAGCTACAAAATGCTTAAGTAGCTCAATTAAGCCTGCCATTGATTAAATTAACTGATGATGATGATGTTGTTGTTGTTGATTACTGGAATGTTCAGCTAAAGGTGTGCACACACATTAGGTTACTTGTTCAAATGAGTTTTCATCTACTGCTGCTTGGCTCAATATCGCTCTGTATTTTCAGGAAAGAGATCATAACAGTGAAGACGAAGATGAAGATAAGTATGCAGATGACATTGATATGCCCGGACAGAATTTTGACTCCAAAAGGCGCATAACAGTCCGAAACCTGCGAATTCGGGAGGATATTGCTAAAGTAAGCAAATCTCGGGGAACCACTCTTACTGTGCAGCCGTGCTTCTCCATGTTGTTCCAGGGGACTAAGGAAGCTTTCCACTTCACCTGCATTCCAGCCCCAGTTTTGTTTGACTACCATCTCCTCCCTAAATGTTGCCATCTAAAAGTTAATCGGAAACAAAGCATATCACAGTTAGGGATATGCACCAAAGAAAAGATCCAGTTCTGGTCCTACTTCCAAAAGTGCCCTGGCTTGGCTTGGTAACTCCTCAATATTACTATTGTAATTCTATCTTCTGGCCTCTCAAAAAAGACAAGTGCCTTTTCTTTCATCAGCATGATATACCTTTCTGAAGGGATATGGATGTGGATTAAGGATGTCATAGTTAGGAGTGTCAGGGGATTGGACTGCATTGCAGATTGGGTATGCTGAGTTCTTATTAGGGTATCATGATTCTCTGACCTAATCACGTATGCATATCTTCTGAAGCAGAATCTGGCAACATTTTTGGAGGCCATACTTCAGATGAGGCATTTTTTCCAAGCAGCATTATGCGGAGGTTATAAACATTTAAATGGCTCTGTTACTATCTGGGCTAGAATTTCAATTCAATATTCTCCTGTCTTTTCAGTATTTGCGGAATCTAGACCCTAATTCTGCATACTACGATCCCAAAACTAGAGCAATGAGAGAGAATCCATATGCCAACGCAGGAAAGAATCCAGATGAGTAAGTTCTGTACTCCCTTGGATCAATATTCTAACAATCCCACCTTGCGCCTTCTTGCTGTCTTGCAGAGTCTACTACCAAATAACCAGTACACAGTAGTAAAAGTTAAGAAGTACTGCCTTAAGCACTAATTTAACACAATGAATGTATATGAACAAACTTGGCTGCCTCTGCTGGCAAATACCATTAGAAAAATGAGTTTGTCCTTTATGTACTAAACTAATATGTGTTGCACAGACATCCACTTAGCTCACCGGGAGCCAAGCAGTCCTAGAACTCTCACTTGCACAGGAATGAGGAGAAACTAAGGAAGTGCAGGAGCCTCTCTCTTTCACCCTCTTTATTTTTTAGCTTAGGCAAGCCTGAGACCTTGCCCTCTTTGCCCTCTACATGTGCCAGAGTGCTTGTGGAGAGGCCAAGGTTTCTTTTGTGTCATCCACACAACCCAGGGTTTTATAAAGCACTGGACAGTTGCTCCGTACAAACCAGGGCTTTTTGTGCACATGCATTACATGTATCCTTTTGATATGCGTAGTTGCAAAGATTTCGAGTAGTTGTGGTTCAAGCAGTTGTTGCAACTGGATTAACTGAAAGTTCAAATGCTGTCTTTTTTCCAACAGAGTCAGTTATGCAGGGGACAACTTTGTTCGTTACACAGGAGCCACCATTTCTATGGCACAAACTCAGTGTAAGTACCGAAACATTAGGAGAGTGTGCCTTCTAACAGTGCTTCTCAGTCATAACAAAATGCACTGTAAATGTGGCGATTCGTTGTTATTAGGTCAAAAGATTCCTACCCAGCTAAGGGCCACGTCTCCTTTCGACATGCAGGTGTTCAGGTAAAAGAAGTGAATATCAAAGGAGCGAGTCTCTTCCAGTGGCATCCCCCAAGTTGCAGTGAGTTCTCTGCCAGTGGATGCTGGAAGTTAGGCTGAAGGAAACAAGCAGCTCCCTTGAGCATGTTGCATAAAGTGGGGGTGAAAATGTGATTTCCCCAAGCCCAAGTGCCCCTTTCCCTCTGATTCTTAGAGTGGAAGTGGCTTAGACGATGTGCGTGCTCCACGCTGATTTTTGTTTCCCCTCATTTCCCAAAGATCGCCCATGTCCCAGCATCAAACAGATGGACAAGTGGTACAGCAGTGGCTGTCCTTGGAGCCTGTTCCATGGAACCAAGCCCAGAGAAACTCGTGATAGCCCTCTACCCAGCTGGCTGTGGAAGCCTTGGTGGGAATGGAATGGCAGGAAAAAGAAAGCAAAACCATTTCCTTTTGGTCTTGCCTTTCTCCACCTCTTCTTCTCCACTACACAGTTTTTCTTGGGTTTCCATTTAGAGAAAGCTAATTAATAGTTTGAAATTCTTGGAATGCTTTTAATGAAAAAGTGAATATATTCTCTTTTTTTAATCTCTAAAGTATTTGCCTGGGAGGCTTATGAAAAAGGCTCTGAAGTTCATCTTCAGGCAGATCCTACAAAGCTTGAACTCTTGTACAAATCCTTCAAAGTAAAAAAAGAAGACTTTAAGGAGCAGCAGAAAGAAAGCATCCTGCAGAAGGTAAATAATAAACTTGTGGCTACCTTTGGAATGTTTTGTTTTGTTTTTTAACTTTTTAGCAACATAGGTTGAAAAAATCAAGCAAGAAATTTTTGTATACCACCATAGATTCAGTTCACAAGGCAACTGACTTTTGAGCTAGGAATGAACTTCTAGTCTAACTTTCCTGTGCCTTATCTTTAAAAAAGCAAAGGCCACTTACCTCTTGATCTTAACAGTCTTTTTAGTTAATAGAAATTTGAAAAATTCAATAGGACTTCAGGCATGTGGAATGCATTCTCTTGAAAGGAGTACGGAGAGAACCATACATAAGAATATCATAGTGTTTATAAAATAATATTGTTTCAATCCAGTGGTAGTCCTACTTAAGGTATACCCCCCCTTCAATCAACTGGGTCTGTTTTATATAGGGCTAACATTGGATTCAACTCTAGGCTGAATTCTTCACTAAAGAATTTTCTTTTTTAAATTTTCCTTTAGTATGGAGGACAAGAACATCTTGACACCCCACCACCTGAATTGCTGCTGGCTCAGACAGAAGACTATGTAGAATATTCTAGGCATGGCACAGTTATAAAAGGCCAAGATAAGGCTGTTGCTCGCTCAAAATATGAAGAAGATGTAATGATCAACAATCATACTGTAAGCTCCTGTAACATAAGAACGCTGCTAGATATTTTACAATAATGGTTCCATTACACAGAACTATTTGGCCTGTACTTGCCTTCAGCTGAAAGCAGGTGAAATGTGGGCTCCGTGCAGCTCATTGATATTAGCTGGTCTGGCCTATCCTCAAGCAACCACTATTTTTATTACAGATTACAATCTTGTATTATCTTCCTTGGAACTCAGGAAAGTGCAGACAGTATCCTATTTCTTCCACATTTCCCCATCATTACAACAGTGAGTTGTTAAGTGGGCTAGTTTGCACAGTAAGAAATGACCCACTATCAGCCAGTGAGGTCTCTTGCCTGATTGGGGATGAAGCTGATGGAGTGACTTGGGGCCAAAATGAGTAAAATGTAAAAAAGTGAGACATTAATTTATAAATGAGGCAAAATTTTCTTCAAACACAACAACCCTACTTCAACAGAAACAATGTTTAATTTTGTTGCTGCTAAGTCCCTGAGAAAGCAGTGTGACAGTTCTTATTTCAGGCCAGGCATGGAGATTTTTGGTAAAGTCCTTTTTATATCTAAAAGAATGTTAAATTGTTGAGACATCATTTATTTATTTGATTTATAATCACCTTTTTCATACAAAGAAATCAGAGCAGCTTAATCATTCTGCTGCTCCTCCCCCTCTTGTTTGCAATCTTATTCCTGCAACAACAATCCTGTGAAGTATGTTGGGCCGAGAATCTGTGACTGGCCCAAAGTCACTCAGTTGACTCCATGGCTGAGTGGAGACTAGAACCCAGATGCCAAGTCCCAGTCCCACACTCTTAACCACTACACCAGACTGGCTGTCATCAATTACATTTCTATACTGCCCAGAAAGCCTCTGCTATTGAGCAGTATAGAAATGTGATATATAAACAAACTACACTAAGCTTCTAAATAGACTGGAGATCTGATTTTAGAATTTTGACTGAATTCCTTAAGATGATTGAGATTCCATGGTTTTTAAAGGAAATATTTCTCAGATGTGCTGTTTCTCTTCTGAAAAGTGCTTATGAATTTGCAACTTGGGGGCCACTGGGGTCAGCTACTAACTGTCACCGTCTTCTTTGTTCCCCTGCAGTGTATTTGGGGCTCCTATTGGAAAGAAGGCAAATGGGGTTATAAATGCTGTTACTCCTTTGTCAAGTATTCCTATTGTACAGGAGACACTGGAAAAGAAATTGCAGTAAGGACACACTTACGTACTAGAACCCTATTTTCATAAAATGTCTCTTTTTGTGAGATCTGATTCTCTGATCTGCTTTTACTCTCTGCAGAATGCTGATGAAATATTGCCCCATGAAGTGCATGAGGAAGAATATACAACCAAAACCAAATCTCTGATGGAGGCAAGTTGCTTTCCTTTTTAGAAAAAAGTTTGAGTGGGGGTGGTCAAAGGCAAGACATTATTTTAGAATATAGAGTATATTTTGTCACATTTTGGCACTCAGCAGTTAAAAGTATTTGGTGTCCTTCCATCCCAGATAATACCTAGAAAATGTTAAATGTGGAGACTACATGTGATACCCCCGGGTTCTCTGCCCTCTTCATAATGCCTCCTCTCAGGGCACTTGGCCCGTAATATCCTTCTGTGGCCAATCTGGTCTGTCCAGGAGCTTTCAGCTAGCAAGGGACTCAGTCGTGCTTAGGGGAGCTGCATGCTTGGGAGGGGGCTGTGTGTGTACAGGCAGCCCCATCACAGTCAGAAGTGAGAAATGCTCTGAGTGTGGGGGAGCTTCGTTTGCATGCTCCCATCTGTGAAACTGCCTGAAGCTTGGGACATAATCTTCCATTCTCTGCTGTCTCCACTGCCACTATTGTCCCTTCCCACCATCAACAGATGCACCAAGAAAAACAAAAAGAGGAAAAGAAGAAGAAAAAGAAAAAGCATAAGAAGAGCACAAGTTCTGATAGTGAGGGAGAAGACAGAAAGAAACAGGAAAAATTGAAAAAGGTATGCTTGAAATAGCCACCTGCCAACTGCATTTGTCTCACATACCAGTGATTCTCAGCATGCCCCTTTGGAGTGTATGGGCCAGATGAGGCACAGGGCAGGGCACCTGAGGCAGGTGCTATCTTCTTTTTCCACCAGCCAAATCCTGGGTAGATTGATTGCCCTCCTCTGCCACCTGTCCAACAATAGTTCTTGCTGATCCTCACTGGTTTTTGGTGGGGGGTAATACTCTTTTTCTTGCCAAAGCACATTGGCAGAAAAGAATTCAAGAGTTGCACCTTGTTCTTCTGCTTTCCTATCATTAGGAGACAGTCAGAAAGATCCTGTTCTCTTCTTGCTAATGCCAGTGTAAGATCGCTACCATGATCCTAGAGATCCTTGCCCACAACAGAAAGTCACGTTCACTGGACTGAGTGCAAGAATCTCCATGCATTCATTTGTGAAGCAAGAATGTTGGTGTTGATTTGGACGTCTTGGAAGCTACAATGAGTTCCCAAAGCTTAAAATGCTACCATATGCTATAATTAGCAGGGGCAGAAAGGGAATGTGTAATTTCTCTTTCACAAGGAGTTTTTTAGTCAATCTTCTGTGGCTAAATTCTTGGTAAACAGGTTAATGGCTAGTGATTAGGCTAAATTCAACTGACAGTGGGCCACTTGACCTTCATGCTAATCTCAGTTCCCTCTGAATGTTCCATCTTGCCTGGCTATCTTTCAGCGAAATCTTGCTCTCTGTGTTGGTTCATTCCATGGGTTTGTTAACTTCTGTAAAGAAATGTTGTCATTTCTAACTTCGTTATAACATGGTTATGAATTCTGCTTTCACTTCAGGCACTAAATGCAGAAGAAGCCCGTCTCCTTCACGTGAAAGAAATCATGCAGTTAGATGAGAGGAAGAGGCCATATAACAGCATGTATGAAAGTCGGGAACCAACAGAGGAGGAAATGGAGGCTTATCAAATGAAGCGGCAACGACCAGATGATCCTATGGCCTCCTTTCTGGGGCAGTAATTTTGGAGAAGGAAAATGCAAGCCCCATAGGACTCAGATGCAGTGTTACACTTAGTGACCAAGTGGACAAACTGCTGCCAGTTTCCTGTGTATAGGAGAGTATGTGTGTAGCAGCTATCTTTGGCCTGAAAAAAAAAAAAGATTATTGAAGGTGTTTAATTTGTAAATACTTGATTGGTCTGTAGGCCTGTGATGCCAACTAGATACAGCCAGTTCATTCAGAGTGTCACTAGAAGTTGTGTTTAAGAAAGATAGCAAGAGTATGGTAGCTTCTACTTGGCAACTGTGTGTGAGCACATAACCTACTTTTATGTATAGATTGTATTGAGTTAGTGTAAATGTTTTAAAGCTGCTGAATGGACAAAGGTTGTTTTTAGCAGAAGTAAGTGGGACACCACTCTGCTGAAGTCTTTCTTCTGGCTATAAGCTCAGCTGTTTGACAGCTTCTCATCAGAACTTATTTTAACATTCCAAACACCAATTCTGCATGTTCTGCTTGTAAGGGATTAGAAATTCTTTTACTTATTCTTCTGCCAAAGCATCTTAAAATAGTTTGGAATGATACAGTCCGTTCCCATAGCTATATCCTTGTGTGCACAGAACAGCAAATGAGGAAGATAATTCCTAAACTGCCAATTTCTTCCCACTACTCCTAGCTAATCTGTAAAGACACACACACGTACGTACGTATGTACGTACGTACATACATACGTACGTCTGCTTGAAATGTTCAGTGATAGCTGTGATATAATACCATTGCCCTGTTTTACTGTGAGTGAGCTAGACTCCAAAGTCATCTCATAAATACTGTACCATCTTCCTCTTTTGACATGGCTCAGTTATGACTACCTTTTCCATTTGAAATATGTTTTTCTAGCACAGTAAAGAGAAGGTACAGTTTCTAATATGACAGTCACTTGGTTTTGTGGAAATCAGATGCCGATCTGCTTTTGTTGAATTTGGGTAAAGAACTACCAACTAAAACGTATTGCCAAGAGCACTCTTTTTTACTGGGTTTTAGGGGATGGGAAATGGAATGCAACTTGGATCTTATTTTTACCTTTTCTACAATGAAAGGCAAGCTGACATGAATATTTGCTTAGTTTGCATATTCTTGCATCCAGTGACCCCACAGAATTTGTCTTTGTACATTAATATCATCAAATGCAGAAAAATCCTCTGTAGCCCTATACTGCCACTCTGTTTTCTAGTGTCTCTTCCTGTCCATTATCCCATCACCAGGAACTTCTGATGCTGCTGCTTCAATGACCCAATAATTCAAGCAGACTCCTTTCTCACCTAAGTTGAACTTTGGTTGTTCATTCTCTAATAATCAACATCCAACCTGTTCTCTGTTCCTTTTACATTTAAATCCAGGGCCTTTCTTTGTCACAGTACTGAGTTCTCCAGGACCTAAACATTGGTTGGAAATAGTATCTTCTGCTGCCTTGATTACTTCAACCTTCTTTATTTTAACCTCCCTGTCCAATATGAGAATTTGCTTAGTTTAGTTGTTTGGTGCAATCTTGGAAAAAAATTACAGACGGGGACAAGTAGTATATTCTAACAGGAGCTACATCTGTTTCCTAGCATTTCTAGGCACAAATGTAAGTCTTCTCTCAATCCTCTTAGAAAAGGACAAATATGTTGAGCAAAATGTACCGTATTACTAGTTGCACTGCAGCAAAGCTTGCTAACATTTTGCAGATGTAAAGATTACAGGCTTAGAAAAGTGGTTTCCATATATGAAACAAGTGCCAGTGGAAGGCTCAGACCCCAGAAGCGTGTCATCTTGCTAGTACGTTCTGGATATCACAGTGCAGTTCACCTATCGCATATATACTGTGTGATGTTGTAGTACCCAGTATCTGAAAAAGGCAGTGCTCTCTATTTTCAACCTAGCCCACTTTTTCTCAAATGTTGGTCTACTCATGACTTAAAATACATTTATTGGTCTAGTTACTCACCCTTTTACATCCTTTACTGCTGCTTGGGTCTGTTTCAAGTGTATGGAATATATCGAGGCTTTCTGCTGTAAATGGGCTATCAGAATAGAGCAACTCAGTCTGTCTACTGTCATGAAACCAAATGTAGTTTTAACTTGGCCATTTTGTTTGACTAACAGTTTACAATATATTCTCTCTGGGGATGCCATGCAAATACTTCCAGGCTTGCTGTTGCACGCACAGTTCATGGATGCTGGAACAAAGAGGTGGAAGGTCGGTCGGAGCAAGGGAGTGCTAGACTGAGGCCATGATAGCCTCAGGGCAGGTGTGCCCAACAGTGAATTCATGACTCTTGTGCATACATACATACACACATGCATTCAGTAATATACCACGATAATGCAAAAACCTCCTTCTTTATGTATTTTAGCAAAATCATACTATATGCTATCCTGGGAGCAAAGAATTAATTGATCTTCCAAGAGACAAATAGAAGCACAAGCTTCCCTTTTATCAGCACACAGAAAACATAAGCACACATCAAAGCACATCTTTTCTCACCTATACACACGTGCGTGTGCGCGCACACGATAAAAACTATGTTTGGATGATATGAAGCACCTCATTGTGGATTATTCCACCTATAGTAAAATTGCATGTGCAATTCTCACCCCTGTGATACGTGAAGGTGCTGGGGAGTTAGGATAAAAATACAGAAACAGCAAGTCAGAAGGGGGACTCCTTGGCCATCTAGTCTGACCCCCAGCCCTGGCCAGTTCTACTCCCATAATGTCCAACATGTGGGTGTCCAATTTGCCCTCTCTGATGGGTGCTCCACCATCTCCTGTGGAGGTGACTGAAAAGCAGCTTGAAGTTTTCTAAAAAAAATGAAATGTGTTGGTGAACTGAACATTTTTCACTGCAGGAAAAAGTTGGGAAGAGGGATTTATTTCACAAGTGAGAAGGAGGAAAAAGGGAATGTTTAAATCATGACCTCCTGATTTTTTTACTTGCTTATAGAACAGGGGTGACCAAACCAAAGCTTGGGAGCCGCATATGGCTCTTTGAGTTTATTTTGCCCCAAACTGCAACCCAAAGCCCATTTATTTATCACAAAGTGCCAGCACTGCAATAAAACCTGAATACTGAGGTTTTAAATTAGAAAAAAACAACTAAATATGATGCTGCAGATTCAAATATGCCAGGGGGACAGCACATTAAAAGAATCTCAGCCTCTTAATTAGAACATCTCTTTGCTAAATCTTAGATACTAAATTTCAATTTTTCATAAGAAAACTCAAAGCTGAAAACTTGTGTGAATAAAAACAAATGTATTAAAACTCACAGCCAGTCCAAGCAAATATATATATATCCTTGGCAGCACACTGACCAGCCATGCAAAAGCTCGGACGAGTCGTGGCTAATGAGTCGTGGCTCATGACATCATCGCCTAGTGCTGCTACTCCTTTCCGAGCATGCGCATGGCATGCACTGTTATCTGATGCTCAGCTACTGGGGCATCTTGGCTCGCGTGCCGACAGGGCTCTGCATGCCCGCTGTGGCACACGTGCCATAGCTTCGCCACCACTGTTATAGAACAATAAGAGAGAGGGCATTTGTAGCTCACAATGCCTCTCACAAAGCAGCAGGATTGAAAGCCCCTCATAAAATGTGCTCTCTGATTAGAAAGTGGACCTGTCAGTCACTCAGCTGCACTGCATTCCCTTCCCCCTATCAATGTTTGCAGAGAAAGGAAACCAAAAAATATTTTTGGAGGGAAACATACTCAGTGCTCCTAAATCTGAATTGCTTGCAAAAATCCATGCAGGGCCCGGCTCTTGTCCTAGTTGTTACAGAGGGAATCTCAGTTCACCATAGGAAACACCAGAAATAGGCTGTTGTGGTCCAATTCAACTCTCTTCTGCCAAAACCAGCACAGATCCATAGCACTCTACTTACAACTCAACCAAAAAAATGATGAAGCCGACTGAAGTCCATGAAAGCTCGTTTCACAATACTTGATGAAGCTTTACTATGATTTCTGGCAACCCCTTAGGAAATCAGAAAATGAGAAAAATAAACAGCAGTTGGAGTCTTCTTTCTTCGATGACATTTCTATGTCCTGCTAGCAGATTAAGCTCAATACTTATATGCAAGATTGTTTGCATTTCTAAACTCAATTGAAAAGATAGCATTCCAGCTGGTGGAAACTTATTACACCTTAATGTAGTTTTCAAGTTGTTGAACCTTTGGGGTCTAAAATAAGCATCAGTGATACTTGCTCCCACCTAGGATTGCAGTCTTGCCATGTAAATGTAATTATGAGAGTCTGTTAGTGCTCTATTGTTGGGGAGGGATCCCGTGTGTCTGTGTTAATGGGATTTCGAATCAGGCTGTTAGCAAATTTGAGGGCAAAATAATAGAAAAACGCTTTATGCATGCGCGGTATATTATGCACCCTGGGGGCATGACAGTGAAGGTTGGGGTGGGACTGTAGCCTCTCAGCCTTGGAACGCCTGCACTGCATTCAAAAGGTCGCCGGTTCAATCCCTGGCATCTCCATGAGGCTGGGAAAAAATCGACTAAACCCCGGAGGGCCACTGCTAGTCGCTGTCGACAATGCTGAGCTAAAGAGACCAAGAGAAGGTAGCTTCCTATGTTTCTAGTTTATGGATTCCCCTTGGGGTGTGGCTATGGGCGACGCCTGTATGAAAATCTGTCACTGCAGCACTGATCTTATAATGTGAAAATGCACTACTTAAAGAGGAATAGTAAGCAAACTCTTTGCCACGCCCCGGCTGAAATGTGGCCGCTTTGCCCGGGCCAGCCGGCGGGCCACCTGGTGGACATCCGTGTGACAGAGAATCCCTTCTTGGCTTTGCCTGATCGCTCGCACGCCACTCTGTTTGGAGCAGATGGCGGACGACTTCTGAAAGGGGGGGGCTTTTTTCCCCCCAGTATCTGGATCCTTCCAAGCATTCAGCCACATGTGTGTAAAGTTTTCTTCTGTGTCTCACGTGACACGAGGCAGAAGCTCAAACACATTACACAATAATCAAAATATGCCTCTAGCAAAGCTGAGCCAAAAAATAACTGAAGCTGCTGCAAGAAACTGGGAATGCAAATGAAAGGCACTCACTTTTACAGACTTCAAGGATTATAGGCAAGCATGCAAGAGTCCTAGCCCTTCATTTAAAGAAGTGCGTTGCAACCAGAATTAGGAAGCCCACGAAACTGGTCTACAATGTTCTGCAGGGGAACATCTGTTTAAGATTCAGCGGATTTCTTTCTGGATGTCAGGCCCTTGAAGAAATTTGTTCTCGTGAGTAGTATTTTATATTTAACGTTTCTAAAAATAGTTTCTAAATTAGACTCACAGCCTAATCCAAAGCATGGACTTGGAAAGTAAGTCCTAATTTTAATGTCTTCCTCCCAAGTAAATGCACCGAGGATTGCCGCCTTAAAGTTTTTGAAGCCTTTGCGGAAAGCTACGGAGCATTGGAAAGCTAGGAGGAAAGACTGAGTTTGACTTGAGGTAGCTGTCTATGAAAGGGCTGCAAAGTTTTCTTATCTTATGCAAGGGAAATGTTTAAAAAGGAAGAGTCCCAAAGAATAACTGCAGGCTCAAGGGCAGACGAAGTTTGTCAGCTGAGCTTCAAGTTTTGGAGCTGGAAAAAGCCAAGAGAGACCAAGTTTTAACGCTAGTTTCTTTCCGAACTGCACCAGATAACGACTTCCTTTTTAGATTCAAACACTGCATGCTACTATTTATAACTCCTTTGCTTTCAACCAAGAGATTGTTGTTTTTATCCTGACTTCCTCCTAACCAAAAAAGTCAGGCCATTCCTGTTTCCCCGAGGCAAAATGATAAATTTAGTTCAGAACCAAATCTGTCATTGCATCTTGCAACCTGCTCCCACCTTTGTTAGACTGCAGTTTCCATCATCCTCAACCATAATGGGAATTATACTCCAACACATCTGCAGGATACCTGTTTGAGGAAGACTGATATGTTGTTTTTTTGAGCCAAACCCAAATATCAGTCTAAAGTGGCAGTCATGAACCAGGGACAAATCACTGGATCTTTGTAGTCAAATTAAAAGGACTTCATATTTTGTAACAAGGTCAACCTGTTCCACTTACCTATCAAAGATGTTCCAATTTACATCGCCCTAATCAAACTATACCTTGCACATAACAAAATGCAACCTTTTGTTTTTATTTACCTTTATTGCACAGTTTTATTTCCCTGGCATAGCAGAGTGAGATTTCACCTACACGTTTCTATCAGCAACCATAATCTCTTGGCTCAATAAGCATTAATGAACTGGGGATATTCTTGGCTTCTTGGGGATGGCTCCATTCACAAGCTAAATAATAGTATGGCATGATTAGTGCTTTTATTATTGGCAATATTATGTGCCTCCCTGTGACAACATCCTCTCCATGGTTTGGGACAATCAAGTTTCCAAATATAATGTGCAGAGATGAAAGCAATGTAAGAATGACAGCATCTGTGAGTAAAATAACATGTATCCCTCGCAAAGAGGTATAAATGGTCCAGAAACTTCAGCTGATCCAAAACGGGGCAGCAAGACTGTTCATGGGGACTGGCTCATGGGAACACATTATGTCAGTCCACTTTCAGCTGCACTGGCTGCCAGTGGAAGTCCAAACCTGATTCAAAGTGCTGGTATTAACCAGTCAAAGCCCTAAATGGCTTTGGATCAGATTATCTGAAGGATTGCTCCACCCATGTGTACCTAAACTAAGGTAATCTTTGGGGGACCTTCTCCAGGGACACCTTCCAAAGTAATGAGGTGGGTGGCTACCAGGAGGAGGGCCTTTTCGGTTGTGGCACCCTGGTTTTGGAATGAGCTTTGCAAAGAGGTGTGCTTGGCGCCTGCTTTGTTTTTTGTTTTTTTGGGGGGGGAGGTTTTGTGCCAAGTGAAGACCTTTTTTATTTTTCCAATATTTTAACTGTCTAATTGTTTAACGTTGTTTTTATATCTGTACTACTACTATGTTTCTGCACTGGATAATAGCAACTGCAATTATGGTTTCGTTCTTTTAATTTAATTTGTATGTGTGTGATTAACTTTATTTTTTTTTTTAATATTCTGCCTTTTTCCTACAAAGTGCTCAAGGCAGCTTACATCTCCTCCTCCATCTTATCCCCACAACGACAACCCCGTGAGGTAGGTTGGGCTGAGAGTCTGTGACTGGCCCAAAGTCACCCAGTTGGCTCCATGGCTGAGCGGGGACTAGAACCTGGATCCTCTGAGTTCCAGTCCCATGCTCTTAACCACTACACCACACTGGCTCCTAATTTAACTTTGCTAACTGACCAGAGAGCCTCAGCTATTAGGCAATATAAAAATGAATTAAACAATAATATAAATACTTCCCAATCTGTTCAGATCATGGGGCAACTTGGGGAAGCAACCCATGGAACTTAAAATGAACCTAGACTGCATTTAGAAAGAAAATGGCTATGCATGCTCAGAGGCACTTTCTTCCCAACCCAGCTTGTACATAGAAAGTAAACAAGTCCCTGTCGATGTGTTATTATGAAAATCAGAGAACGCAATTGCAACATGGAGGGCAGATGTCCCATGCATGCCCCAATCTACATAGAAGCACAATTTTGCCCTTTTCCCCCAATAAAGAAACAACGTTCAGAAATTTGGACCTCCACATGTGCAGGTTATCTCCACCATGTGCTACCTTGTGCCCACCAAATCTGGCAGCACAGGAACAGGGGTTCTGAAGTGGACCATAGTCTGTTGTCTAATATTCCAGTCATCGCTGTGGTGCATAAGATCAAAGAAGGAATGCCAGGTTGATCCTTACAGGTACTGCTGGATGGTGAGAATGTGATAAATCATATCATATGATTGATCATGGTCACACTCTTGACGTACCTAAACATTTACATCCCACATCTTTTCCTGACAGGCCTCTAAACCCTGACAATAAGTAAAATGTCAGAGGAACCAACTGAGTTGGTTCCAGACTTAAGCTGGATCACCTGCGCTGATGGAAGCGACCTTCCCCACCCTTTCCTCCCCACAGCAACCTCTCTGGGCCCCTGGAAATGCAACACAGAGGATGGGTTCATATGTCATTTTCAGCCATCCCAAGAATAAGCCACTCTGGGAATATCATCTGTCAGCAGACTCTGCACTGCTGTGGATTGGCTGTTTGCTGCATAACTTACAGTGGTGTGGACAGGTGATTAACAGGCCTTTCATGGCTTGTTTCCAGTTCATTTTTCCCACCCCCTCTCAGCACATATCACAGGGGCCTTTTTGGGAAAATCCTGTCTGGCGTCCTTGTTACATCAGCAGCCCTTTTACTATCGGTCTGCAGTGGACATGTCTTGCCTTTACTGGCTTCCAATGGAAAGCTTTCCCGCCCTTCTCTGTCCCTTGGCAGAGGGATAGCTGCTTATATTTGCTTTTCCAATAACAATCTAACACTCTAATAATTCCTGTTGTAGGTTTTAATTTTGATTCATGCTTCGCCCATGAAGAGTGCAGTGCTTTCTTCAAGAAGCAGGTTTCACTGATCCCTCACACAACTCTACAGCAGCTCTTGCTCACTGTCCCTTTCCCCCCAGCCTGCCCCTCTGCACTCAGACTAAGTAAAAGTCATTTTGAGTTGTGTCGTTCTGTTCTCCCACTTCCCCACCATACTTGCCTTTAGCCACAGAACCTGAAATCATTCATCCTGCCAGCTGCTCCACTCCTCCAGTCAGCTGGTCGCTGGATGCACAATAAGCCAGTAGTGGTTAGGAGTGTGAGTCTGGGACTCCGGCGATCTGGGTTCGAGTCCCCGCTCAGCCATGGAGCCAGCTAGGTGACTTTGGGCCAGTCACAGACTCTCTGCCCAACCTACCTCACAGGGTTGTTGTTGTGGGGATAAGATTGAGAGCAGGGGGAGAATGATGTAACCCCCTGAGTTCTTTAAAAAAGAAAAAGGAGGGATATAAATCCATAATAAGTGGTTCCACTTAAGCCTTCCTCCTCACCTGCTGCCCACCATGCTATCAGCCTGGTTCACCCTACATACAGCAGCCTGCATCTTCACCATGGACAGTTAGTTCCCTAGTGCTTATATCTCTTCTTTCTGATGGCTGTGCAACTCATTAGAAAACCTTCACCAAGATTCTTGGCACCAAGAGACCACGCCTGGCTAGGAATTTAAATTAGCTCAGTAAGGCCCTGTGTGGTGCTTGCACTTCACTGGCTATGAGTTTTGGTTGTGTGGCAAGTGCCACTTAAAGTGATGTGGCTGGGGATTGTATAAAGTGGATATCCTACAAAAGCAAGAAAGGGGTGTGTTTATATATGAAAAGTGCAGCATTTCTACATGAAGGAGGGGCACACCCGTTACGTGAGTAACGGTTCCACACCTGCTCAGCAATGGCTGCGCAGATCTTGCGCACATCACACCACATGGCTGCTTTGGATGGCAGATTGAGCAGTGGGGCAATTGGCGATGGCAGCAGCATCATTCTAAATGCCTCACCCAGGAAGTTAAGGGTTGGCCTAAAGGAGCACACACAGCCTAGATTCACAAATGCAGCATGTGCTGGTGATATCTGGCATGCAGTCTTCCACCACATCCAGAAGCCTATAAAAGACAGCTCCACTGTGACTTTAAAAGGCTAAAACCACACTCCACACAGGAAGCCTAGCGCAGCGGCACCGTCAGCCACACTTGGTGTGCAACAGCCTGGTGGCGGTGAATGACGGGGCACACAGGCGGGTCCCTTAGCCATGACAGGAGGCTGGTGGAGAAAGACCCCATCACCCCCTCTTTGCTAATGGCCAATTCCAGAATAAAATAGTGCTATGGCTTCTTCTTGAAATACCGGCGTAGCCATCCAGAAATGTGCCCTTAGAGGCTATAAACATTACTATATCTGAAGAGCATATTATGGAATGGATTCCTGATGCTGTAATTGCAAAAGAGCCCTGGAACATACAGAAAGTTCTGCAAAGTCTGGCATCAGCTCAAATGTCAACTCCAGCATTGATATCCAGGCTGCTGCCACGGACAGATAACATCTTGGGCTGCTGTAAGCTACTCTCTCTCCTACAGCTGCTGTCTGATCGCAGCATCACAGTCTTTGTCTGAATTGGTTGTGGGGAGTGGGCCCATCTCTTGCTTACTACAGACTGTTTGGATAGATTCATTGGAGGAGGAGAGGAGCAAGGACACTGAAGTTGCAAGGCTACCTAGTGAAGTTTGCCAGGCAGTGTGTGAGAATCAGCCTACCTTGGAAGGAGTGGAAGGCTTCTCAGGAGCCCACTG